GCGACTCATGGCAGCCCAGCTCCAGGTTGAGCTGCCGTTCAGCATCTTAGCTGTGGAGGGCAGCGTCACTGGCCCTCACATGTGGGATCCGAACCGGGGCCCTCTGGCATCCCAAGCGAGTTCTTAACCATCGCGCCACTCGGCCGGCCCTATACCAGTAACTTTTAATCAGTTAAGGTTTGGGGCGTCTGTGAGGTGGAGAGCATGGTCTTCTGCTCCATACAGCATTGACAGAACTATTGGGTTGTCGGAAAAGTAATGATGCATTTTTGCAATGAAAAACAGAAAAAAATACATCATGACTTTCCCGACAATCCAATATTAGATAAAATCTCTACCTGCAAGATAGTTATAGAGTCTAGCTGACAAAGGCAGGACAGATATATAAGAAGCAGCGCGAAGTCCAGTGCAGTGGCTGAACTATGTTACATACTAAATGCTCAGGAGGAATTAAAGCTTTCAGGGGTCACTGAGGGTGGGGAGGTGAAGGTAGCTGCATACCCAGCATGTGATATGGGCTTGGTAATTGCGAGCTATGGCTCTCATCCTCATCCTCACTCCCAAGTTCTTAACTCAAGACGTCTAGGAGAACATTGATTCCATTTATACAAGTAGGGAGTTGAGAGGAAAAATTGTTATTATTTCAGGAAGAACTTTGACATGTTTAAAAGTGTTATCTAGGTGGAAAGCTGTTTCCAGCACATAAAGATATAGAATTAGAGTTTCTGGTGACGAGTCAAGAGCTTTGAGAATCATCTCCTTATATGTAGTAGATAAGTTTCCCAAAAGGTGTGTAGGGTAGTAATTGCTTTTATTTCACACTGTCCTTTATGTTAACTAAAGTTGACACTACATACCTTGACAAAAAAATATAAAACCTTCATTTGTCAGTGACTTAAAAGAACAAAACTTTGAGCTTATTGTGCTACAAGTTAAAATCTCAGTGTCTTTGAAATTCTCGCATTTTTTTCTTCTTGATTTGCCTCGCAGCTTAATACTTGGGAAATATTAAATAGTAAAACATGTATATGTGAGAGAAAAAGAGATTTGTGTTCTTTTTATAAAAAAATTCTCATCTCTAACTTAAATTTCCAAATTCTCAAGCTGTTTTTGTTCTTGTCTTGCTGGGTCTCATTATCTCTGTTTGCCTTTTCACTTATAAACCATGTTTCATATATGTGAACAGCATTGGGAATGTGACCTTTCTCATGACCTTGTATGCTAAGATTTTGCTTTGCATTTTCTGGGATAAATGTCACTAAAATACATTTTGCTTTTCCCCTAGGTAAAAATCTCTACACCAATGAATATGTAGCTATCAAACTGGTGAGTAGAAACTATATTTGTGATAATTATATTTTGGTGGTCTCATGCCTCACATACCTTTTTACAGGAAATAGTGAGCATTTACAAAAATACTAATGTTTTTTCCCTTGCATAAGATCCCACATAGTCATTTTCCTTCTACTATATATAGTGTTACAGTCATGAATCACTGTATACTATATAACATTAGATGTGCTAACTATAGTGTTAACAATGATGAGTCAAAAAATGGTTACAAAATAGCTGGAAGAAAAAAAAGTCACTGAAAGACTAATAATGCGTGTGAACTTTGTACTTTTCACAGTGCTGTTTTAAAAGATAAAATGTTATTTTTTTTAATATGACTGATCCATTTTTCAAATGTAAGGCATTTATTAATATACTTAGTACAAATCTGATCATCTAATCACTGCCTGAAAAAGGTACCAAAAATGAAAAACACATTGTGTGGTTAAATTTGAAGCAAAGGGTTCAATTGGTTTTGTCAGTACTAACCTTATGAATAACTAACCTAGTCATTGAAAATAGCATCCTAAGAGAGGTAATGCATATAACAACACAGGTCAAATATTTTCTCAAAACAATATGTTATTTTTGAGGATTAACAGTTTTAGAAGAAACAATTCTTATGTTTAAGGTTGATGCAAAACCATTTCTAGTCATCAGATGAAACGTTTCCTATGACTAGATTTTATGAAACTGTATAAATGTGTGTCCTACTAACTCCTAGTATATTTCCTAAGATTTGTGGGTAGTTTTGGGCTTTATTGGTTGGAAGACAGAGGAGTTAATGATTGAAGAACATATCTTGTGATACTTGTGACAGTTCTCATGAATTGCACTTAACCACATCCACACCTACCCTGGTGATCCCTTCTTCTCATTCAGCTTGTGGATTTGCGGAGTAGTTGGAGTTGTCGTGTGAAAAACTGACAGATGGGTTTCTCTGCAAAGAGGTGGGTAGAGAGCATGGCTTAGAGCAGGTAGCTGCTAGGGAACCATGTGTTTTCTTTTGTTTATTGACTTGGAACTCTGCTGGAGAAATGGAAGCAAGAGAGGTAATGCATATAACAATACAGGCCAAATATTTTCTCAGATTGACCATTTTTTAAGTTTATACATTTTTTAAGTTTATACAAATTTGGTTATTCTGTAAAAGTGTTCTCTAGTTCACTGCTGTTTTTACTTTTTCTGTTTTACTACTTTGGTAAGTTGGAATAATTTTGATTCTTTGGGGCCAGTAACAGGAAGAAGCGGCCCCTAAAATACTTTAAAATATTACCTAATTGCTGTGTATCTGTTATTGTCCCTTTATTTATCAAAACTCTTTTTGAGGCTTTCTGTTAGGGTCTGTGCTTTCTCTCTAGATTTTCTCCTTCCAAGTTCATACTAGTCAACCTATTTTAGATAAACTTGCCTAGCGAATTGTTGACATGACTGACCATTGCATTTCACTTACATTTTATTAAATTTTTATTCTATTTTGTATGGCCAAGAGTTAAAGCTAAAAATAGACTTCATGTCATCTAGTATGGTGTCTCAGTGCCACATTTCTCTTTCAGATAAATCTTAGATAAAGGTTTTTTAGAGGATAACAATCTTGTCTGTGGGCCTTCTCTCTTGCTGTTGGTCTGTGTTCTCCATAGGAGATACAAGGGCAGTAATTGAGCTCTTTTCATTGCAACAGCAAAATTGGCCTTAAACATCACAGTCCTACAAGAACTGCTGTCCATTTAGGATTTCAGGCAGGCATGTGTTCCAGAATAGCCATGACTCTGACAAATAGCCAGCCCTCTATGGAAGTGTAGTCAGCATCTGGCACAGAAATACAAGGAAGCCCTGCTGGTACTGTTTCAGTTGTACTGTGTTTGGATCTTCATTGTGGGCTCTTGTTTCTTGGATATCTAGGAACCTTTTTAAAAAAATCATATACAATGTAAACAAAATAGTGTAATGAGCCCCTCCTTTACCCCTACTGAGATTTCTGGGGTTATTTTTAACAGAGGTTTTCTAACAATTGTTAAAAAAAAAATTCTCTCCTGGCTACTGATCTTGCTGCCTTCCAAAGCTGTAGACTGTTTGCAATGTCCTTTATTCATCGTGCTTGCAGAAAAGCACCTCAAAGCTCCAGTGGGCTGAGCGGGCTACAACTATGTGATGAAGGGGTTAGCTGAAGGGTGTAAGTCCTTCTGTCTTCGATAAAAAGCCCCTCATGTCTCAGTATATGTGATGTGTATGCCCACTGTCAGCCTTAGAAATCTAAAGAGCTTTTGCTTTTTTTATCTGCTAACCTAGTTACCCAAAAGCAGATTATTTCTTATGAAGATTTCTAGTGTGGAGTTTTGAGAGTATTATGGTTGAAGAAGGATCTGTTGCCCTTTGTGGTCTGTCACAATCCAAAGACTGTTTCTCCAGAAAGAACACTCCTCTTTCTAGTGTTTAGATCAATGCCTGTCTGGTTCCATATTAATTTGTCATTACTGTTTCTGTTTGGTTCCTCGTGAATTATTAGCAATTTTGCTGAAGGACAAATTCTATAATTGCCTGGTTTGATGGTGATATAGTGGAAGATCTAAAACCAAGTGGAGACTCTAGAGTGATCCCTCTCTATCTGAAGAGCTAAATGAATAAGGAAGTGACTCGAGAGTATAATTATTCTTATGTATTTTTCTTTTGAATACAAGAATCTTGAGAAACTTGGAGTCCAACTCTAATGATTGCTGATTTTATAATCAAAGAGGGGTATGAGTTCTTTTTTTATAGAGTTCCTTAGGGGCATATGAAATACAGCAGGTCCTCAAATAACTTTTTGTTCAATGTCATTTCGTTTATAATGTTGATGAGTTACCATAGGAACTTTACTCTTGTTTATATCAGTTGGAGTATGGTAAAATTGATTTCATTATACATTATTTTGCCTTAGTTCCAGGAACCTATCAGCAACATTAAGTGAGGACTTAGCTGTATTCCAGTCTGCATGAACTGTTTTATTATAGATGGAACTTTCCTAGAAGCAAACCGATAGACAAGTTAACTTCAAGGAAACTTCTGAATTCTATGATTTATGGACTCTGTATCTTAAGAAAAATGCAAAAAAACTTCAAGTGGGTTCAGAAAGATCTTTCAAAGACTATCAAAGAGCTAAGAAATAAGACCAGTGAGGAGAGGTTAAAGGAGTTGAAATTACTTTGCCTGAATAAAGGAATTCTAAGAAATGATTGAATAGTTTTGTTATTTGAAGATAGCTATTCTAGTATTCACAGGTTATAGTGGATCTATTTTATCTTGTTATTGAGGACATAAGAGAATAGGCTTAAGTTTCAGTAGTAGAGATTTAAATCACATATAAAGACCTTGCAAACCATGAAATTTGTTAAACACCAGCATGAATTATCAAGGGAAGCTGTGGAATATGCTTCCTTTGAACTTATATTAAAAATAGGACAAGTAACCATTTAATGAGGAAAGGACAGTTTTTTCAACAGAAGGTGCTGGGAAACTGGATATTCACATCTCTTGGAAGAAAACTTTTGGGGAAGGCTTCATGACATTGGATTTGGTGGTGATTTTTTTTTTTATATGACACAGAAAGCATAAGCAAGTAAAGAAAAGATAAATAAGTTGGACTTTATCAAAATTAAAAACTTTTGTGTATCAGAAGACTCTGAACAGACTGAAAAGGCAACCCATGGGATGGGAGAAAATACTTGAAAATCATATGTGATAAGGAATTGATATCTAGAATTTACCTTGTTAGCCATTTTTTTTTTT